TTTAGTCAATATGAGTAGAAGAAGTTGGGTAAATGTTTAAAGTAAGTTTAAGACTCGTTTACTCGGGGTTTGCGGCCACTTTCTTCTATAATGAGTGATTAAAGAGCATAGGGTTAGTCGGTGTTCGTTGTGAAGCTTGCGCTGCACAAAAAGGTAAAGACGTGATTTTTCTGTGGGATCAAAGAAATAAATGACAAAGAAAAAAAAACGTGAGCTATGTTAATGTCCCAATTTTAGATGCAGTTAAAATCAAATTGAAAAATAAACTGAAGAAACGGATAATTATAAATAAGAAGAAAGAAGAAAATCAGGTGAGAAAAGGAAATTTCTGGCTGCAAACACATCAGTATTTAATTTAATTTAATTGTAATTATTATACGGCGTATGTAGGATTAGGGGAAAGAAGCGGCAAAACTTTTAGGGACATGAATTCTCTTGAGATTTATTTAGCTCTTTTTGACAAATAGATCTGTTTCATCTATATAATAGTTTCTAATTCATGCAATAGCTCTTAATGTACACATATTATCTATTTACATTTAACCATTTTTCGTACATTAAATATACTACCAGCTTTTAAATATGTAGATTACCTTCTTTTGTATAAAATTTAATCATTTCTAATTTCATATGCGATGTAGATTTGATTTAAAAGAGTTCTCACACCGTAAATACTAAAGCTTCCAAGTTTGTTTATTACTCCATTTTACATACTGCAGTATGTTGACTTGTTAGGCACATCCAATTGGGTCATTAAAGTGGTGTTAGATATACGTTTACCTCACTCATCTTTGGCCGACGAATAAATGTTTCCAAATAAGTTTAGATTACTTTCTAATTGGTTGGCCAATGATGAGTGAAGTTAAATATTATATTTCACCATTTTTTGAAATACTTAAATGACATAAATTTATTGTTCTAAAAAGCGCTTACTCGGTCTCTTAGGATGTCTACATTGACCTGAAAATTTATATTTTATTTTTCGAAAAGATATATGTACTTTTAACTTTAAGAACGCATATAGAAAACTGCTTTTTTCTTTTTGTTTTTTAATTTTATTTTTTATACCAAGGCCTGTCCCTTGATGCATATAGAAACCTACTAATTGTAGATTAAGATAAAAATTATTCATATTTGTATATAGTGTTAATTGTTGTTAGTATTTAATATGTGTAATATTTATTACATAATGAATATAAATGTGAAAACTAACAGGTGTATATATTAAAAACAGTAAATTGTTTTCTTGTACAACTTCATAGCGATAGATTTGCTATTGTAGCCACTTTTAACATGCTTAAGCCTAAGCATGGTATATACTTTTTAGATTGTAATCGTATAATTTATTAAAAATGTATGATGTAAGCAAAAATTAATCTGCACTAGCTTTCCAAAGATTGTGGTAAGTTGTTGTTAATAATTGTTATCGAACTAGTCGTTAATGAGAAACTTTACATTAAAGTACTGCAACTACATGTTCCATGAAGGATATGATATATGGAGTATCTCATATGGTATAATAAGATATTTCTAACTTACATTTGTAATAAATCCCCTACACGATATTTCTCAACCGTAAAACTTTACACCATTTTCCAATTGTAATTTTATTTCCCTTTTTAGATCAATCAGCCCTATAAAATGTTTTTAATAAATGTGTAAATAAAATGATCAAGAATGAAATCATAGAAAAGATGGAATTAATTGAATGTCTTCTCAAACACACATATTATTTTAAAAAGAAACACAAGTCATACTCCCCCCTCACTTTTCTTGATTGTTTAGAGTGTATTTTCTGAATGATTACTAAAATTATATTCATGGATATAAATATAATTAAATTGTCATCTTCTCCACCACTACAATCACTACATTCATTGTATTACCAAATTGGTCAAATTTTCCCTATAACTTTTATTTTTTCAATGTATTCATCTTTCAGAAATTCCTAAATTGGTAAGCGTAAACTTTGACATCGGTAAACTTTATGCTTATCAAAAGGAATCCAAAACGGATTTTTATTTTAATATAGCTAAAAGAGGAAAAGAAGAAAATCAGCTTAGCAACACAACAACATAAACATTCAAACATTCCAATGCCTTCTGACTCAAAGCAGTGTCATACTAGTTACAAAATATAAGTGAAACATAATATCTACACCATAGCTTCTTCGTGAAGATTTTTTTACCCAATTGGTCAATTGTTTGTGAGTGAGATACTTTTGTTTATCAACTTTAGAATTCCTGACATTTCATATCCTAAGTATAGAAAAATTGAAATTTATCGTCTTTTTACTTTAAGATTATCATAAAAAGTGGAGGACTAAAAATGTCACTAACCGTGTTTGATTATAGTAGTTGTTTACTAGCTAATAGCCTAGTGAATAAGTACGTAGGTTGTTACTAGCGAATTCTGTTTGCTTTTTATAACTAACCACTTTCATTAGTGGTTTCAAATAAAATGTTGGTAACTTAATTGTTTGTGATTAACAGTTAAGACGTAAAATGACCACAAAGGATATTAATTTAAAAATATATATATTTAACTGTACTTAAAATTTTTAATAAGTTTTGGAAAAAGTTAAAAAATTTATATTTACGTTTATTTGAAATAACTACGACTATCACTATCATTTTTAACATATCTACATCAATGCATGCATACACATATAAATTTATTTATTTTTAGCATTAATATTTTAAATATGACTATTTTATAATTGTTTTAAAAAATCTCAATATAAAATAGCAAAACTATTCTATATAAAATTTTCATATGGATTACAATTTTGGAGCTGATTTTTTATATGGTGTACATTTAAAAAATAAAATAGTTATATTTAAAGTATGAATAATAAAATTATATGAATTTATTTCTGTGTGCTCGCGTTAGCGTATATATGTTAAAACTGATAGTGGTAGTACTTATTTAAAATAAACGTAAATATAATTTCTCAAACTTTTCTGAGACTTATTACAATAAAAAAATAAAATTTAAGTTAAATGTATAAACTTTTAAATTCATGTCCTTAATGGTCATTTTACGTATTAAAAGCTAATTGCAAATGGCTAAATTTCTAACATTTTATTTCAAACTGCTTATGAAAGCGGCTACTTAAAAAAGCTAACGAAATCAGCTAGTATAAATATGTCCATCGAACTTGCTATAAGCTAGCAGACAACTCCTATTATCAAACATGGCTGTTGAAATTTTTAGTCTTTCACTTTTCATTACAAAATAAAAGTAGAATTGAAGATGTCAATTTCACAATACTTAAGATATGAAATGTCGAGAATTCTAACGCAAATTATACCGTACACCCGGATGTACGGTTCTCACCGTACACCCGGATATTTTTGCAATTAATTACAACTCCAATGGTAAAGGTCTTCCCTGTTGTGCTGCTCGTTGATGTCCTGGGAGTCGATGTTTCGAGTTTTTCCTGAAAGAGATGGTAAGGTTCCTATATTTTTCTCCTTTCTTCCTCCGATGAAAAGAAGTCGGAGGAAGAAAGGAAGAAGAGCATAGAAGAATACCCGGACGGCGAACACTCTGGCAACGGCTAGCTATAGAACACTCTGGCGAAGACCAGGACCCATCAATTCATTGACGAGCAGCGGCACACCGGCCCGAAGTAAAAACAGAGCATCTTGATTCACACCAAAATTAAGTGACGAGCAATGCCCACGGCACACCGGCACAACGATTTCCTTGGCGCATCTCCTATGTCGGTTGTATGCCTAGTCCACGGCGCAATGCCCAGTAGACTATCTTTCTGTGACTTAATTATTTGAGGGTATTATTGTCCTTATTGTAAAAATTAGTCTTTATTATATTTTAACATTGTGTGTTAATATTTTACAAATTCTCATTTCCTAATTTATGTGTGCTCATTTGAAGTTGGTGTAATACTCATTTTAAAATGACATATTCATGCATCTCTCAAACATAATATACTACATTAGATTCACATTAAAAATGAGTTTTATGTTAAATTCAAATGTGTATAACGTCCAAAATGAATGAGCTCACAAAAATGTTTTTTTAAAATTTTTGATACTCATTTCGTAAGTTATGTATGCCCATTTGGTAGTAATGGTATGCTCATTTTAAAATGCCATTTTAGGCTTCTATTACTCAAAAGAATAGGCATGATGCTCACCAAACTTGCATTAATGCTCATTAAAGGTTCATTAGTGCTCATTCATTAGAAACCGTGAATTTCATCTCAAAGGTCAGATGCTCACTAAAAGTACAATATTGCTCATTTCGCGGAAGACTGATTTTTCGTTTAAATTACAAAAATGCCATCGAATTTTTTTTGGCCTGTATCAGTTATTGGGTTGTCAACCTTACTTGGGCCGGGTGTATGTACACCCGGATGCACCATATATGCACTGGAATTCTAAAGTCGGTAACCAAAAGTATCTCTTTCACAAAAAATTGACCAATATGTGTTCGATACTTTTTTTACCAATTTAACTCGAGTTTTTTTACCAATTTAAATCAATCTATTTTCTTACCATTTTTGGTAATTTGACATTTTTACCATGAATGAGCCTTGCTTGGTGTACATCATTTTGGGTTACACCATTTTCAAATGAGAGCATCTTCAATGCTAAAACGTTAACGGTGCATACGTGGAATGAGAGATAACCAATGAAAAAACAATAAATAGAATATCTCTCTCCTTATTTGAAGGATCTTATATCATTTTAGTAAGTTTTTCTTCACAATGTCAAACACAATGTCTAGATGTAGACATTGTGGTTGACATTGCAGAAAAAAACTTACCAAAAATACATAAGACCGTGAAAAAACGAAAAGAGAAATGTCATAAAATCAATCTTTTGTGTCTATCTCTTTCATGTCACATGTGCACCATGCACTGTGCACATTGTAGCATTCAAAATGCTCCGAGATTATGTAAATGTTCACAATAAGGAGCATAAAAATGAGTATCCAAAATGGGGTACTATGGTATTTTTCACCGTGAAGGTTTGAATGCACCAAAAGGAAAAACCGAGACGAAACCCACGTGCTCCAGTCTCACTGTTCTTGGTTACCCTGCTTTCCTCTGGAATGGCGGCCCTGCCGAGCTTTGGCCTCCGCCGTTTGCCTTCTCGCCCATGGCTACACAGCCTCCGTTGCACAACAACCACAAGAAGACCACCCCCTCACTCTCCGCGTTCTATGTCCATAGTTTCTTCTCTCTCCTCACTCGAAGACACCGGAGAAATTCCACAGTCTCCAATAAATATGACAACAGAAAAACCTAATGCCACTACTAGCGCTAGCATTGATATTCATAAGGAGAAAAAACCCTTATTTCCTAAGCGAGGGCAGACCTTGGAGCTGGTTTGTGAATCTATAGCTTTTAAAGGCAAAGGCGTTTGCAAGGTCGCAGATACTGGCTTTGTGGTAATGTGCGATCGTGCACTTCCCGGCGAACGCTTCCTTGGCCGTGTCACTCGCAAAAAAGACAACTACGCGGAGGTTTATATGTTTATATAATTGCTCGTATCCATTCTCATTATCACAGAGACAGTATCTCATTTTACTCTCTATAGGTACAATTTAATCTAGACTCCGGAAAAAGTGATTTTGAAACTAAAAAATGGAGTTTTAGACGTTTAGCAGTAGCCAGTAGGTGCTCTTAGCTCTTTTAAATTTGCTCCTCCCATGTTTAAGTTGAGGAACATGAGCTAATTTATGACGTTATGTTGGTTGCAAGGATGATAGGTGAAGAAATTGAAGACCATAGCACCTCATTGGGACTATGTGGAGGCGCCCTGTGAATATGCTTCACACTGTGGAGGTTGCAAGACCCAGAATTTATCATACAAAGCTCAAGTCAGTGCAAAAGAGCAACAAGTTAAAGAGCTCGTTGTGCATGTAGGCAAATTTTCAGATAAGAACCCAGAATTTGAGCATGTGATGCAACCCATTGTTCCATGTGATATCCAGTTTGGGTATAGGAATAAGGTCTGTAATGGAATTTACTCTCTCATGGTCTGTTTTGATGCTTAAAATATTGTTTTAGGTTTTGAAGTTTACCTTTCTTATTTCGGTTTTCCGTGAATAAACGAAAGAGTTGATGAAGAATACAACAACATAAGAAATAAGAAATTAAGAAACACATTTTTTTACTGTTACGTAATGTTATACAATTAATTGATACCATGAATTATTATGTCACTTATGCCAACTTTTTGGAAAATGAGGCAAAATGGCTTTGTGATCTTTTCATTGTTGATGCTTTTTCACTCTCTAAGAGTCTAAGAGACGGTCTACTAAAATGAGACAAAATGGATTTATGATCTTTTCATTGTTGATGCTTTCTCACTCTCCAAAGTCTTGGCTCCATTGCAAATGCAGAACTCAGAAGAAGAATTTGTTAGACTAAGGTTCCTTGTTTATTTTGCAATTTTATAGTTTATACCCTTGTAATACAGATGGAGTTCTCCTTTGGCCCAAAAGGATGGGTACCTGAGGAGCTGTTACACGAATGTAATGATGCTCAAGGCTATGCTCTTGGATTGCATGCTCCTGGATTTTTTGATAAGGTTCTGAACGTAAACAAATGCTTATTACAAAGTGACCCAGCTAACAAGGTATACTCTTTTTTTCTGATATTTACTTTCATTTGAAAAGAAACTTTATGCACATGATTTTTAGTGACAAAGTAGTGCATTAGTGCCTCTTAAGTCTTAAGCGCAAAAGGATGCTCTACAGAATAGCTATTATGTGTGTTATGCTGTATGACTTGGGGTATTTTGTGGTGAAGTATGAAACACGTAAAAAAATGTTGCTGATACAGATGAAATTGTTTAAATTGATGTGTAGCTAAACCAAGAAGAACAAAATTATGTATCAAGTTATAAGCTATAAAGTAGTAGACTAGTAGTCCCAATTGAGTAGAGAAATGAGGAGACCGTTTGAGATGTGGATGCATCTATTAGAAGGCATGGACGTATTGAAATATAACATAAAAGAGGTATAGGATTTAAGTTGACATGGATAGGAACAATTAGAAGAGACCTCATGAGTATGAGAAGATGACTGTGAAAAGAATGAATGATGTCACTTGATCCATGTAGCTAACTCCGCTTAGTCGGAAAAGGCTTTGTTAAGTTCAGATTTGTTTGGTTTTGTAAACATACCAGTATAAATTGAAGACTGTAGTGGAATGTCTTGGTGTTTTCACTAATTTACCCATTTGATCGTGTATTCAAATATTATAGTTGCCTCTATCATTTCTATATAGTTATTTGTGATTTGTTGTTGGATTTTTGTTAGTCAATAGACCCGATAGGTGTGTAATAACACCCAAAAATTATGGGATAGAAAACACGAGAACACGAAGACAAGAATTGAACTTCAATCGGGAAATCAGCTCTATACTAACATTGTCCAGGAGAAACACTAAATGCCAACTCTGGGATGATTGTATTTACAACTTCAGGTTGTTAAAAATGACATGCATGATGATGATATATAATTAATAATAACAATAATGGTACAAATAGTACACTTCAACACCAATCCTCAAGACAAAACATGTAGACAATAGACACGCTTCAAGCTTGCTAGATATTACCACATGTGTTCCTAAATAATTGTCGCTTTTCCAAAGTTTTTTCTTCCTAAGTGGTTACCGTTTTAAATTACCAAGACTGCATTTATTACCAAAGTTTAGAATTCTACCCTTCTACAATCAACTACAATGGTGCAATTTCCTTCTTATACTCTGTCATTAGTTAAGTACATTAAATATTAAATAAGGCTCTGTCGGTTTACTCTAGCTTCTCTTCTATCAATTAATTCATGCAATTTCTTAATATATGTGTGAATCAGTCCAAGGTGATCCGTTTAGGAACATAAGCATGACCGTTTAGCACAAGTGTATTAAATTTGACTTTACTTTGACTCAGGATCTTGACTTTCTAAACATTGAACTTGATCTTAAAACTTTGATTTTTTAATGCAGACATGTACTTCTAACTTGAACTTTGATAAATTTATTTGATTATTTCTCACTCTTACTGATGGTACCAAAACAGTACTTTTGGCTGATGAAAGTCGAATTTTTTTTAAAAAAATACAGTGATTTTTTTGACTAGATTTATCGGGTTGTGACAAATGCAGGGCACATAAACACAGTGCTGTTACCATGTTTAATTTTAGCTGTGAAATAGGTAGGCAAGTGGAGAATAGCACCGCCGTCAGGTTGAGTCAAATACAAGAGAAATCAAGATAGGCATTGAATTTGAACTCCGATTAGTCTTCATATTTCGTACATAAGGTAAATTCAATGAGCTCTATATATATAGATCTCATGTGAGACAAACTAGACAGCTCTAGAATGCAGAGTTTAGATGGCTAATGTCAACCCTAGGGTGGCTTGACTGTTTTTGGTCAAGTATAGGATAGCGATAGTGACAGGCTGACAGCCATAGTATTACACTAATGCTGCAAATTATACGCTTGAACAATTTCCTAAGGAACAAAAGGCTTCTATGAAGTAACTGTCCCACTGTATCTCAGTGTTCACCTACATCTGGATTTGTCATCATAATGAGATGGCACGTTTCCCATTATTTATCATTTAATTACTCTTCACTTTGGATGATGGGTGTCCTTGCACTGCTTTCTTCATCAAGACTTTAACCTCATAATTTCTTTACTGCTTAGGTGACATAGTATTTGGTTTTATAAGTGAGAGCTGTGAAGCCATTTCATATATGAACCTATGAATCTATTCATGATACAGGTTCTTGCAACCATTCAAGAATATTGGAGGGATCCAAAGTTTGATCTTTCACCTTACGATGTTCGTTCTCATAATGGATTTCTGAAGCATCTAATGCTTAGAAGTGGCAGGTGCCTCTATTTTTATGATTTTTTCCAGCTCGTGTGACAGTGATGCTAATTTTTTTTGGCATTCTCAGTGTTAGTTCCCATATAAGGAAACTGATTTTCTTATTCTATTTGTGGGATAGAAAAATGTAACTAGGCTCTACATGGCAAAAAAGAAACGGTTACTAAATCTGCTTTAGATACAAAATAACATGGGTCTTCAGCATTTGCTTTCATTTTGTTGGAAATTTTGTACAATTGATGTATATTGATATTTGAAGGTCAGAACCACTCTTAGATCTGATATTGATCTTTATAAATTTGGCTCCAGAAATTGTGAAACCGGTCTTCCTGAGCTTATGGTTAATTTTGTGACTTCATCCTATGAACCAGAGCTACTGAAACCCATTGTAGATAAAATAGCAACTATTCCTGAAGTGGTAAGCTATCTTGAAACATTAACTGTAATGTTTTTGTGATGTAGTGTAGAGAAACAATAGTATCCAGGTTTGAAAAGTCGATGTGTAAAGGTGTTACAAATTACTTTTCTATAGTACTTCCTCTATTCTGAAAAACTGTTGCTTTTTAGAAGATCTAGAGAACATACGTTGCTCATATTCCACTTTTGTTCTCCTTCAGTTCTTCTATTATAAATTCTCCATATTATTTTGCTGATATTTGATGCATTGCTGAGGGGTACTCTAGTCAAGTTGTAGTATTTTTTATATTTAATTTAAAATTATTGCAATCATAATGTTAATTTTTTTAAAAAATCATAATGGAGATAGCAGCTTTCCTTTCGGTAAAATGTGTATGTAGGCAATGCTAGAGAAAAAATATGGTTTTCCATTGGTAGGCTGTTTTATTAAGAGTTTGCTCTGTTGATGTCAAACAGGTATGCATAATTAATAATGTGAATACTTCTATAGGCAACACATCTATCGGGGAAAAAGAATACACATTGCATGGCAAATCTTCTATCACAGAGATTTTAAGAGGGCTTAATTTTCAGATTTCGGCAAACTCTTTCTTCCAGACAAACACACGCCAGGTGAAGATGTGCAAACACTAGAACTTTTCCATTTTGGAGCTATGAACTTAATGTGTGGTACTATGGTTATATAAGTCATAACTCTCCTTTCAGGCAGAGATTCTTTACAAACTTATTGAGGATTGTGCCTCTCTGAAGGGAGATGGTTCAGAAATTGTTCTTGACCTATTCTGTGGGACCGGAACCATTGGCCTTACACTAGCCAGAAAGTAAATTTCCTGTTGTTTCAACTGGCATGGTGATGTTTCACTGACCCCACCACATTGACAAATCTTTCTATTCTGATAGAGTGCGGCATGTTTATGGTTATGAAGTGGTAGCTCAAGCAATCTCAGATGCAAATCAGAATGCTAAGCTCAACAGAATCAGCAATGCGACATTCATCCAAGGAGATCTTAATAAGATTGATGAAAACTTCGGCAGCAATTTTCCCAAGCCTGACATCGTCATCACAGGTCTATCTTTCATATTTAATTGCTCTAACTCTAAAAAGAATTAGAGCAATCCCACTAAAATTAAAAAATATAAGAAGCTAAAGTAGAGTAATGAGGGATAAATCTTCTAGAAATTTGTGCTATGGGGCAGGGAAGAATTGCACTTTTGGAGTTCTCCTCTTTGCTTGAAAAAATGTGATCTGATCAGAAATTTTTAAGATCTGATCTGATCATGATCTCCCAGGTCGGAATGTTTCTTACTTTCTTGTCATTATTTGTCTGGTCTGAATCTTTCTGGTCTAATTTGATCTGGTCAAATCAGAATATTACCCCGTCTCAATGAACTTTGCATTTCACTATACATTGGCCAACACATTTTCTCTTCTTTTTAGTTAAAAACAGTCTTTGCAAATCAGTCAATTAGTTCGCAATTTGGTGTAGATTCTAATTTTTGAAATTCTAAATAGTATATTAATTCCAACTTTCGTCAGGGATAAATTAATTTAAAGCAGTCAACCTCGTAAATCGGAACATGCAATGGGACAAGGGAGTATTCTGTATGTTGTCAAATTTTCTTGTTTGAAATATAATGTCTAGGCTAATTTGGTTTAAACATTCCCAGTCTAGTTAGTTTGTGAACCGAATAAAGTACAAATAAGTACTACCCCCGTCCCATTCAAAGGTTCCCATTTGCAAAATGACACGATTATTTAGACAATAATTAAACATGCTAATTCAAGTATATTTTTTGAAATAGTTTTAATGGTATATAATGTAATGGGTTATTGATGATAAATGTGATGTTATAGTTGTATTATTTTTAATATTTGATGATTAAGTTGTTATTTAAGGGTGTTAATTGTTTCCTAAAATAGAAAATGGGAACCTTTAGCTGGGACGTCCAAAGAACGAAAGTAAGAACCTTTGAATGCGACGGAGGGACTAATAAACAAAAAGAATAAGGTGAACAGAATTACAGCTTATTCCCATAAATCACTTTGTTTTGGTGTGTCTAAAACTCTAGAAGTATGCCAAATAGTGCAAGTCCGACCAACAGACCAAACAAAAGTAGGAAAGGGAACATGATAAACTAAATTGCAAATAATGTAAAAAATAAAATAGGAATATTGACAAAAAATTACTTGCTCCGAAATGCTGAAATGTGGAACGCATCCTGTGGTTCTTATGAGGTGTATCATGCGTGTCCTGATTCCAATGATAGAATTCGACTTTTTACTTCTCAGTAATAATTTGTATGCAATACTAAGGTGTCGAAGATTTGCTGACAGTGGTTCATTGTGTTACATCTTGTAGATCCAAATCGTCCAGGAATGCACATGAAACTGATCAAGTTTCTGCTTAAGTTGAAAGCGTCACGCATCATCTATGTATCTTGTAATCCGGCCACTTGTGTTCGTGACCTTAATTATCTCTGTTTTGGAGTAGTATGTATTTCCTGTTCTCTCTCTTTCTCCCTTGATGACTTGACTGATTTGTTTCTGAAGCTTTTCACACATGCTTCAATTACAGCCAGAGCGAAATCTAATTGGATGTTACAAGCTTAGCAAGTTGCAACCAGTGGACATGTTCCCACATACTCCTCATATTGAGTGTGTTTGCATGTTGGAGCTTCTCTGATATAATCACTGCCAACAACCGAGGGGAAAAGTCATCGGACCCATCGCCATCCATAGTCTTAATTGCATTTAGGGTGAGGATTGAGGAAAGGTCACAGCAAATGAGGCAAATCGTCATAGGAGCTACTTGACATAGAAGTTGTGTTGTTCAAAATCTAATGCACACTTCTCAGTATTAAACTGGGTACTGGGAGCTTTAGGAATGAGGGCATTGGGATGTGCCTATTTACCTGCTGGGGCAAGCTTTTAAAGTTGCTGTTAGTTCTCAACCTGGAAATCTTAATAATAGCCTTGCCTATCCAGGATTTAATGATTTCCTATTTTAGACTTCCCTTGAAGGGTTAATGGACCTTGCTGATTTTTGGTTAACAGAAACGTATCAATTTATGTATTACTCCTTCCGTCCCATTTAAAGTGTCTCGTCCATTATTCTCGGGTCAACGTGCACTATTCTTAATCTTTTACTTTATATATCAAAAGTTTATGAAATTTAAATTATTTTTTGCAGGTTCTGTAGTTTCTGAATACGTAAATTTTATTTACTAAAAATAATTCTATTCATGACAGGGATAAATTAACTTTATGGTCAGTTAAACATCGTAAACCGCGTGTGAACCTTAAAGTGGGACAGACGAAGGGAGTACTTTGTCTTGTCATGCCTTCAAAAATCAAACTTTGTGAGATTTTTTTGTTTACATATTAATATATTATTGTTTGATCATACTGGATAACCGGACGAGGTGAACACAAATGTGTGTGTAAGAGTAGACTTTAAAAGTTCTTTAGACTACATGTGATTAGTGAGACTAAAAACCATTCTAATTTTGAATTTACGGATACGTAAATCAAGTCTAAGTTTAGTAATAATTCTTCTAATCCATTCCAAATTGAATTGAACCGAAATTGATAAAAACCAACTGAAAATCAATATGTTCACCCCTATTACATACTAAAGTACTAAACTAAAATTTTAAATGCTTAATAACAAACAAGTTTTCTTTACTACTTTCAAAGTCTTTTTAAATATAGATGACTAAACTAATAAGATAACCTATAACGGTTAATTTTATAAGTAGTAATAAGAATATTCTTCCTCTTATATAGATATAAATATGTCAGGTTTCTTATTGATGGAACATGTTTCATTACTTCTCACATGATATCAAAAGCACAATTAATACTCTAACTTTCTCGGTCCTCCTATTGTCGACTATGTTTCATTGCCATGTAGGCATGCAGCCCATGACAATCCATGACTTCAATCGCTAATATATCTTCTCTGTCAATTGTTGCCTCAACTTCTGTCCTATGACCATGGATTTTTCCCAATCTGAAGTTGTTGCATCTACTGTTTCGCCACTGCCTCAAATATAGTAACACAGCCAGTGTCTTTACCTCACATTGATTTCCCGGTTGGTCTGTCGATCTAGTCCAAAATCTGTATTATTTCTGCCCGAATCGAATGGACCAGAACTAAAATATTCTATATATATTATTAAGGGGTAATTTGAGTTTGCACCCCATTTTATTGTGCAAATGGGACTTGCACCCCGTTTTTAAAAAACTTTGTTTTTGCACCCCAACTCCATATGAAAAGACAAAAATGCCCTCCATTAACAATTTTGTTGGCCTTCAACATATTCTTGGTTGAGGGCATTTTTATCTTTTCATATGGGTTGGGGTGCAAAAACAAAAATTTTTAAAAACGGAGTGCAAAGTCTAATTTGGACAATAAAATGAGGTGCAAACTCATATTATCTCTATTATTATATATATGTTATATTATATACAGCGTGTCTGTGTGTGTTTACATGGACATGTATATAAAGAGAAAAGTACGAAAAATGTTCTTATGATTGAGTCCATTTTCAGATAGGGGTTTGTGGTTGGGCCAAAGACTTGGACTCACGAATCCAGCCCCAAGACTTGAACCCCTGAATCAAGACCCACAACCTAGACCAACATACCCAAGCCCAAGTTTAGGTTTTTACTAGTCCAACACTCCAACCCGACCAAAGGGCCTATCAACTAATTAGGGAGCTCAGACCTATCCAATCAACAAAACTAATGAGTGAAACAAGCCCAACCAACAAGTCCAACAAAGGAGCAAGCCTAGCATGGATCCGTCCATCAATCTGTAAATGGAGCTGACATACTTGCCCAATAGGGAGCCGTCCATTAGCCCGACAGGGAGCCAACCTACCGGCCTAGGCGCCTAGCAAGGGGCGCTCAAATTAAATGACCAACCGGTCAACATAACAGAGGTGGAGTCACTATTGTTCAAAAGTGTTCGCATGAAAACCTAAAGTTTTGAAAAATGTGTGAGTATACATGGTTAGATTTAGTGTGATTATTTATTATTCTTTAAATTCTTAATTGTAAAAAAATTGAAACCCAAAATGAAAATTCAAAATTAGCCACTAGAACCGAGAAGAGAAACTATCAAGATAGTTGTTGTAAAAGTTAATAGCGCACTTAGTACCTTGTTAATCTCATAGTTAATTTGCCATTATGATTAGTAATGATTATACTTTGTAAACGCCTATAAAAGAACAACAGTTTAATAACAATGATATACTATTTCTAGCATCCAAATTTCCTAGCGCTTTCCATTTTCGTATACGTTATTTCCCACTTGAGTGTCCTATTGTAACTTCCCTTAAAAAATACGAGTCTATTTTTGGACTAACAAACATATAAAGGGATTATTACATCATTATTGATCATATTTTTCTTACAACGTTAGGTTTCAAATCACTTTAACATGTATGAGAATATTATAAATTCAAAATACCCTTTACTTCATCGGATTAAATATGTATCACACTTTATACTCCGTATAAGATATCAGCCAAATACAAATAAAGATCATTGTTTTTCGATAGAGTGAGTTTGCTTTTCTCACTTTTCATGCTGGTATGTACTTATACATTTTTGTCTTTATACATTTTTGTCTTTGTTGTTTTAGAGGTTTGCTTCTTTTGGAGAAGTTTTGACTATTTTGGCTTTATGACCCCTCTCTTCTTTTATTTTAATAAATAACGTTCTGATATATGTTGCCGGGCCCAGTTCAATATCTATTATTTTTTTGCTTTCTTGTTATCCCCCGACCCCCCCCCCCCTCACCCTCACCCCCAAACCTCCCCAAAACACCCAGCCCTACCCTAGGAAAAGAAAAAAAATTGAAAAAAAATTGACCCGGACCCGGCCCGAACCGCCCGGACCGGTTCGCCCAAAACCGGGCCCGAGCCCGGCCCGCCCGACCCGCCCAAACGGGCTAAAAGCCCGGAACCGGCAACCGGTCCCGGTCCGGGGAGGGCCCGCACAGTGGCGGGTCGGCCCGGTTTAGTCCATCCCTACACCTACCTCACTACTTTTGGTGGTTTGCATTTTCGGATTACAAAATGAATAAAAATAATTGCATCACTAACAAATTTAAAACATACTAGTACATGTTGTGTATCACAAATCATCATAACATCTCAAATATCACAACATATGATGATCAGTACTTCATACTTACGATTAGATCTTCACTCTTCATTACCAGAATTCAGTTCTTATGCATATTCATCATCATCATTACCCTAGTGCCGCAAAGACTCCCACACCTTTGATGGGGTAAGGGGGGTCGGATGCATGTATGCAGTCTCACCCATGTACTAAAGCACAAATATAATTTTTGAATGACCCATAGTGAAATCGTGTCAAAAATTGCATGGATTGACTGCTACTTAATAAGAAAGAAGCATACAGTTTAGTAAGTCATTGTACTTTATTCCATCATATTCTCAAGCCAAAAAATAGTGAACCTCAGATTCCATTGCAAATGATCGATTCTTATGCATGACAAGCAAAATACCGACTTGTGTTGTAAATAAAGTTTGATTACATGGGTTCTCTAATCTAAATGGAGTTTGGCTCAAGTACTTCGTATAACTCAAGTTACTCAACTCAAATGTATGTAAACAAGTTGTTTCGCACACCTATATCGACTTGTGCTTTAAATAAAATCCCATGGTAGCGTAAATGATCCCAAATGTATTGAAATTAAATGTTGAAGAGAGCAACAGTGGAAAAAGAAAATGATGTTGCAAAAAAAAGTTACATTTAAACCGCCAAATAAATTAATTTCGATGAAAGAAAGTGAAGAAAGGACAAAAAGAAAAGAATAGAAAATAAAAAGTGAAAAAGATCTTATTTTGAAGTGAGGAGATGAAAAAAACTTGCTCCGTAGAAAATAAAATCAGAGGAAACAAGTTAAAAGGAAAAGATGTCGGAGCAAGACAAAATTACGGGTGGACAAGGTCCGGGTCTCGGATTGTTAGGCTTTTTTAAGTAGGACTGGGGCCAATTATGGGTTGCATATTTCGGGATGAGGACCCGCTGGTCCGCCCGATTCCAGTCTCATTTTTTACATTAAGTCTAGCTGGAAACAATTTAAATGGGATGGAAATGGAAATTAGGGTTGTAAATGCATCGGATCGAACCGAATACTAAGCAAAATTATTCGTATTCGTATATTTTCATGAATATTCGGATTCGTATTCGATTTGTATTCGAACCATGATCTCTATTCGTATTCGATTCGTGTGTTTATTCGAATATATTCGCAAATTATTCGAATATTCGAATTCGAATTTTTTAATTATAAAATATGTTTGACCAATCGACTTTATGATGAAAGTTTTGTATTTTTTCTCAATTTTCACAGCAGATATTCCATCTAAAATAAAATGAACCCACAAGCTTAAGCAAAATCAAATCTGTTTAAATAAATAATGAAAATAAGATGCAAAAGTTAAATAAAATAGTCCATACATCATTGGCTAATTAACCAAAACCCATCATTGGAACGTTTTTGGTAATGTGAATGCAAGAATTCTACATAATAAGCATTTCCAAAAAATCAACAGGTATCAAGTTCAGCTCCTCCCTCCTAGCTCCAAGCTATAAAACTTCAAGTTTGAAGTAGAACCTCAATTGGCACTTCCTCTTCCTGGAAAATTTCAATATTGAATTAGCAGGTGAATTTCACATGTTCTTAAAAATCTACAAGTTAAATATTCATTTTAAGGTTTACAACAAATGAGTAAAACTTACATATGTTTTCATAACTTTTCTTATCCCATGAAGTTGACGAACCCAATCGCCTCCACATATCAAAACTTCAACCATGTCAGGCGATAAATTGGCACGGTAAGGATCTAACACTCGAGTTCCTGCACTACTTGTTTGCTCTGATGCAACGGTGCTAATAGGAATAGCTAACACATCATGAGCTAATTTAGATAAAATATTAAATTTTAGCTCTTGAGCTTTCCACCACGCCAAAACATCAAACTCGGATACTACATCTCCTTCCTGACATCTAAAGACTCCTTCCTCCAAATAAATGTCTAACTCTGATTTCAAAGGAGCATCATGTTGAACATAATTCAAATAATCATCAAACATTGTTAAACCAGTAGGTACTAACTTTCCTTTGGAGATTG